AACTACGCACATTACTAAGGATTAAACTACGCACATCACTAAGATAACTACGCACGATACTAAGGATAACTACGCACATACTATAGGATAACTACACACATACAAGGATAAACTACACACATACTAAGGATAACTACGCGACTATACGAAGGATAACTACGCACAATCTAAGGATACTACGCACATACTAAGGATAACTACGCACGATTTACTAAGATATAAACTACGCACATTACTAAGGATAACTACGCACATACTAAGATAACTTACGCACATACCTATAGTGATAACTACACACATACTAAAATAAACTACGCCACATACTAATGTACACTACGCACATTACTAAGGCATAACTCGCACATATAAGAAAACTACGCCGAACATTACTAAGGATAACTACGCCACATACTAAGGATAACTACGCACATACTAAGGATATAACTACGCACATACTAAGGATAACTACGCACATACTAAGGATAACTACGCACATGACTAATGCATACTACCACATACTTAATGAATTAGACTACGCACATACTAAGGATAACTACGCACATACTAATGATAACTACGCACATACTAAGGATAACTACGCACATACTAAGGATAACTACGCACATACTAAGGATAACTACGCACATACTAAGGATAACTACGCACATACTAAGGATATAACTACGCACATACTAAGGAAGGTAACTACGCACATACTAAGGATAACTACGCACATACTATCAGGTAAACTACGCACATACTATAGGATAACTGACGCCACATTTACTTATAGGATACTACGCACATACTAAGCGATAACTACACACATACTAAGAATAACTACTCACATACTAATTGATGTGTGTGTGTGTGTGTGTGTGTGTGTGTGTGTGTGTGTGTGCGTGTGTGCGTGCGTGCGTGCGTGCGTGCGTGCGTGCGTGCGTGCGTGCGTGTGTGTGTGAGGTGAACCACTGCCAGCTCATCAACTTTCCTTTACCATATGCAGGTGTGGGGCGAGATACTGCAGATGACGGAGGAACTAAGCCTGATGTACAAGAGTAGAGCCGAGGCACTGGCCAACCACACGGTGAACAGAGTCAACACGCTAATAGCCGAACGGAAGGCGATCAAGAAGAACTACAGCGAGGAAAGGTCAACGCTCGACTCCAAAAGGTCACAGGTCAGAGAAAGGTCGTAGGTGAACGACGGCACGGCGGGCAGCGATGTAACTGTCTACGCTGTATTTTTCGCGGTGGTTTAATTTTCGCGAATTTTGCGAACGCGTCCCCGACCACGAAAATAACAACACGCGAATAATTCATACCGAATAATACCGATGAATTCATAATTTATACCGACCGCGAAATTAACCACTTGAGAAATTGCCCGTCAAGTCTGAATTCGCGAAAATATCTGTACGCGAAAAATATGGCGTACACAGTAACTGACCATTCAGTTAGAACTGGCTGGGAACGTTCTCGGGGGTGCAGAGAATGAAGGGGCGTGGGCAAGAAAGTGTGGAATAGGTGAAAGTTCCGAGCAAACTGTCGCAAATGTTATTCCAGCTGCAATGTAGGCATGACACAAACCCTAGCTGCAATTTATTTTATTTATTTTTATTTTTATTTATTTATTAATTTAAAGACGGTACATTTGTAACAGATATATGTCAACATGAGCTTGCAAGCTCCTCACCGTCAGTGCAGCAAAATGATGCAATTCTTAATTAAAAGTGCTAGTTAGTCTAACAACGTAAACAACGTAACTGCAAGCCTCATGTATGACTTGTGTGCATCTTATATTCACCTACATATATAGACTGCAAAAGTGTCAAGAATAATCTGCATCACATCATCGTAGCATAAGTGTGCAGACCGTATGCCTATCAGTTTTCTTTACATTTGCAGCTGATACATTGAAATATTAATTGAATCTGAAATGTAATTGTAATGTTCAGCTGTTTATCGTTTATACTTTATTGCTGCCTGAGCAGAAGTAAGGTAAGAAAAATCTACTTTTGTCCACGAGGAAAATGTACATTGCTACAGGAAAACCATTTTGCATTATAATCTGTGTATTACGTATACTTGCGTACTTACTAAGTGAACTAAGTGTAGATCATATAGATCATCTATATTATGACACTGTATTGTATACGCTTATTGACCTGCTGTTGTACATTACGTATGCGTACGAACACTTAATTGCAGACACACGCCTGTATTTTACCACACACTGCATGATAAATGCCTGTGGATCATTATCATTATGAGCAGTAGACATCCGGTCACCCAGATACCCATCTCATTTAGGTACTAGATCCGATTTAGAATCTCGTGGCGGCCATCTTGGATTTTCCCTTTTTACGGGCGCCTTGCGGAAAAATTTCAGCTTGGCACTATATCTGAAATCATTTAGTATACACTTAACATCATATATATATGCTAACTTTGGTGCTTTTACCAAGAAAAAAAATTCTTTTACATATGTGCCCCACTATTTTGATTCTGATGTGGTACTAGGTCTGATGTCAATTGTCTTTTGTTGTGACAGTTGGGTGACAGTGTGAGCCGACTGCAACAGGACTATGAGAAGGCACTGGATAGCTACAAGAATGCTCAGGCCAAACATGAGGACTTGAATAACAAAAGTGAGACTCGTAGATTATTGACAATTACATGCAATATGTACGGCATGTGTTCGTAAGTTGGTTGATGAAGTGTTAAGGGCTTCGCGTGTAAGAAATGGCAGTCACCCACCAGCTACTAACTGCATGCTGTGATGATATGCAGGAGGGCATCTCTATGCATAGAGCTCTCACTTTCTTTCTCGCGCGCATGCGCACGTACGCAAACACGCACACACATGCACACGTGCACACACATGCACACACGCACATGTGCGAACACACACACACACACACACACACACACACACATACACACACGCGCGTGCGCGCACACAAACACACTCCCTCTCTCTCCATCTCTTTCTCATGCTCTCTCTCTCTCTCTCTCTCTCCTCCCTCTCTCTCTTTCTCTCTCTCTCTCGTTCTCTCTCTCTCTCTCT